TTCCATTTCTGAAAGTTTGGCTGATATTGTTTTCCCACCGGATGTATTCCTATGATGTAGTCTTGTGCAACCCTTGCAAAACAAGTGTCAAGATGTGGCAGTAAACCAGTTCAGAGATCTGTGGGTTGACAAAGTCTTCAATGGAGAGACTATCGCTCTGTTCTTCCAAGAAAATTGGACTTGAATACAGGCATGAGCTTCGAATTATGACAGTTCACAGACAATAACTTGGTCCCTGACTCGCCATGATAGAGAGGGTTATAGTGGGAAGGAAGAGATAGAGGGCGAAAGAGTAAGGGGAAGGGGGAGAAATAGAGAATGGGGGAGAAAGGGAGTGTCGAGAGGGGATAAGAGAGAGAGAGAGAGAGAGAGAGAGAGAGAGAAGAAAGAAGCCAGGATTCAGTGAGTATACTGAATAAATGTAAAGATGCTCATATGGGTAATCATAGAGTTGCCACTGTGCATAAATTTAATTGACTTTTAAATAAACCCTTAACTCCTTGAATATCTGTCAGTGGATTTTTCTCAAACACTCAAGATTGGGGGAAAGAAGGCAAAGTAATGGTTGATATTTTGTTTCAAATCACAGAAGTCAAAGTTAGCATGAGAATGGTTCTACAGTGCTCTCAGCCTCTGGAAACATATGTTGAATCGTATCATAGCCCTGACTATGCCCACAGAAAAAGGAGATTCCGATATGCTAGTTGAAAGATGAATGTCCAAGTTTTTTCTGTAGAAAGTGATATCTCAGATTATATTGGCATGTTTACATTTTTTGTTGGTTGTATAATTTTCGTTTTTATTAAAACATGAGTTGCCAGTAATGCTGTGCATGCACATTCATACATTGCTTGTTAGATACAAAGCTAACATATTGCTATATGGAAATAAAAAGTTTCTTTTACTGAACTGCAGTTTATTTTTCATGAGACTCACTTGCAAGTGCATGTACAATGTATATGAATTTATTCAAATGCTGAGTATACTGTAGTTTATAAGCATACATACTAGTGAATATGTAGGTTACAATACATGGACCAAAATTCAACAGAACTTTGCCTTTCATTATCATCTTTCATTTGAGCATTAGTTATGATTACTCACCATTGAAAGCATGACATTGCTTTAATTTTGTTGCATCTTGAAATAATTTGCTTGAAGTTTTTTGAGCTACAGTGTGGAGACTAGAGGTCTTCTTTCTAAGTCATGCCAAAATATGTGCTCTATGTACTTGGGGATAGTTGAAAAGATTGAAGAAGATTGCACTAGTTCTGTTGTGGTTTACAAACTGCATTTCAAGATTAAAATGAGCTCACAATATTTGACTATCAAGTTCTCTTGTATGTCATTTAAATATTTATTTTTATTCCCTGTTTGCATTTTTTCAAAAGACGCTCAATAAATTCATGCAGCATGTACATGTGTATCTCATTCTCTGCTTGTCTAAGGAAAAGATCAGTCCATGATGTTCATGAGTGAGGTTTCTGTTGATTTATAGAGGCATTACTATGACTTTGATGTAGTGTGATTCAAGTCATTACAATAGTTATCTGTATTTTATACAAAGCAGTATTTTATATAAAAGTGCATATTAGCTTTGAGCATCCATGGCAGATGTGATTGTTTTTGAGTTTCTATTATTGGCAAGCTTCAACTGATGTTGTATATTTGAAATTGATGGCAGGAAATGTAAAAATCTTTAAAATAGTTCCTGCATTTTTTGTCTAGCTTGGCTTACAATTGCTATTGAATCCATTTGTTGGCACTATGCCATTGTTTGGACATTGCTGTATATATCTGTAAAACTGAACATATTTGGTATTTATTCTATCTTCTATCTTCTATGCATGTATAGACAAATTATTTCTGGCAATAATACAAATGTAAGTGGCTTATTCATGTTCAGGCAAACATTTTATAAGAAGCATTATTTGATGCACTATTCAAGATTCATGCTCAATCTTAAGTGAGAGCTTCAAATTGAGAAAGATATGAAATGAAAGAGCATAAAAAAGTAGTAGAATTCAAATTAAATATCTTGAATGCATTCTTTAGGTTTTACTCTTTTCCATTCCTGTTGGATAGTTTACCGGTAAAGAGTAATTTTGTGGCTCAGTGCGGTATCAGTGAGAAGCAAATGCTCATACTTTTTTTTTGACTGATGATTTTTTTATTCAGGTGGTCAATAAAGCAGATTTGTATGTGTAAGAATGTTAAATTTTCATGTGTTTCTACTATCGCAAGCATATTTCAGCATTGAATAACTTTGTACTTTGTCAGAAGTGAATTTCATTAATGCAATTTTGACCAATCAGAAGCCTAGAATCTTCTTGATATGCAGAGTACAATATGAATATTTTTCTGTATGTTGTTTATGTAATTATCTGCTAGAATGGTAGTACCATAATTAACGAGAACATGTTACGTCCTGCTTACCAATAATCTTGCAACATGATTTGTCAAAATGAGGTCACATGGCAAAGAATATATTGTCTATCAAGGCAGTCCTTGTAGTAGTAAACACTATCACATGTGTCATAGTCATGTTTTGCTGATGCCACATAGATGTACATGCTAAAGAGCTAATGGTCAGTGTTTCATTAAAAATCAATCCCACCGCTGCCACCAGTTAGTAATCATATAATATGTAGAAGGAAAAGTCTCAAATGAAGTAGTGACATTTCTTCATCATAAATTGTTTAATGCACATGTTTCTAACATTTGTATATTGTGTTACACAGATGGCTCTTTAGGAGTCCTTGTATGAAGTATGTCACATTTCACTCACACTGGACTCTAGGGTTCCCATGAAGAGCATGTCAAAAGTCACACACATCAAAAACTTACAGCATTCAACTTACAGTTACAACATCATAAAAAGCCTACATCATTATAAAATTGAAATCCTTCCTTTTCAAATGGCAATTATTATTTTCATACTGAAGTCGGGAGATTCTTCAGTTTAATTCAGGAGTATTATTCTGAGAGGTGTCTCGGCCTGCTGGGATGAATGGTGTTGGCATTGTGTAAGATCTGTCACAGGATAAATTATGATTTATTATTTCTATTGGGGGGAATCAGCAAGAAGTTTGATTTTCCAAAGTAAACTGGCTTTATTGTATCTCTGCAAATATAATGTTAGTTTCTACCCTATCAATCACAATTTGAGATTACAAAAATTGCGCATCTTTAGTTTGCTGGTGTAATATCCATTTGGAACCAAAATTGATTAAGAATGTAATAAGTACCTAATTGATTTTATCAATTATGGGTTGACGTGAAAAGACAGATTTTCATGGACATTGCATTACTAAATCAGATTCTTCGATAGATTAACCCATCATTAATTTGAAAAAAGTACTTTGTATTATGGAGAAAAACACCTGTGCCCCTGATTTATGACATTTGAGCCGTTTTGTATTTGTAATGAATAATGTATTCTGGAGGAGAAAAAAAATGTACTCTGGAATATATATATATGATAAAATGCTTGTATATGAAGAAATGAAGAATAAACTTTTCTTTACATCAAATAATCTGAAATGTTATATTCTTTGTACATATAACTCGGGTTGTCATTAAGATTACTGAGTAACAGGATACATTTGGGGATATTGGGGTGTTCAGCTAGATTAATTGTCCAAATGAATATGTGATTGAAAACAATGCTATTCTTTTTTATCCTGCCCTTCTTCTTTAATTAGAAATATCTGCAAAAGGCCCTTTCTATTGAGATATATTTGTGTAGTCTATATGTCTTCCTGATCTACCATTACAGTAAAATGATATTGCTATATTTACCACAGCCCGATAATAGTTTGGGACCAATTTCTCTAACATGTGACAATGGAAGTAATGAAGGAAGGGAGTTAAATTATTATTGAGAAAGAGACAGGAATAGAAAGAGAGCGACATGGGATATAGAAAGGGGGAGGAAGAAAGAAAGAGAGAGAGAAAATGTGAAGGAGCATCAAATGAATAGAACTTCCACCCCGAATCAAATATCAACCACACAACAAACGCTGCAAAAGAGCCTAGCATAAAAAACCTGTCGAATAAAACCAACAACAAATAAGCAACAAAACAAGGCAATAATAAACAAACTTACCAAACAACGAAACGCTTTTTACCTGTTATGTCAATTTAGGAGAGAGTTACTAAATAAGCCTGAGGGGGAATTCCTTGATCCGATCAGTAAAAGTTACATTTTGTGATTCTTCTAGTTGAGAGAATGCTATTATAATAAATATATATATATATATATATATATATTTTATTTTATTTATTTTTTTTTTTGGGGGGGGGGGGGGGGCAATCAGGTGCGGATCCAGGATTTCTTGGGGGGGGGGCAAAATTTGAAATCATGCGAGCCAAATATTTGTACGTAATGGTAAAGCAGTAGCATAATGAGCAAAGGGTTTGGAGGGGGGGGGGTGGATCCGCATCACCACCACTCATACATGCAGGCCCCGCTGAACGTGTTTCAAAGTGGGTGGGGAGATGCTAAAGTATTTACAATCAGGTAGAGCATAGCGTAAATTGGCCTGGGGTCTAGGGGAAAAGCCCCCAGGAAGGGAGCATTGAATTTTTCTTGGGGGGGGGGGGCTTTCGAAAATTTGAAAAATTGCAACCCCCCCCCCCCCCCTCCTACTTGAGCGCCGGACGAGGGGGCCCCTCTACAAAAAAGGTAAAATTAACGTGTTTTGACCTGTTTTTCTTCCCAGTCGTCAGCTAGCTACCATTTTGCTAAATGTTAGAAAAAAACCTAATCTTTGAAGGACTATGACAAATTATAAAAAGGGGCACTCATAGCCCCTAATTATCTTTGGATTCATATGTAGTCTTGGTAAAATCTACAGTTAGAGATATAGGGTAGAAATTAAAAAAATAAACGTTTCTTATTGATATCAAAACCTGATAGAAAAACTGTAAAAGAGATTAGCCCATTCACTCAAAGCTTTGCGTTGCTCAGGAAGCAAATAATCCAGCGTCTAGCGACGGACTCGGCGCATGCGCAAAGGGTAGAAATAGTTGGTCAAATGCAAATTTAAGATGAGGGCAATACCGACCTGGGTGGATAAAGTCCAAGATAGGGACAGAGTTGAACAATGGTAAGTCCGATGTAGGATTGATATTATTGATATGAATGATATTAAATTGTTTCCCTCGGAAATAATGTGAGGAAAATACGGAAATAGTGAGGATATGCAAACTCGAATCAGTATGTAGTCCCGTACGTATCTATTGTTGTGTGTTTAGTGTTGATGAACAGTAAATGCGTGAATCTTCTTTCTCTTCCAATTTGACATTGGTGGTGGTTGGTTATTTTAGCTGACTGCCAAGAAAGCATAGATGCAACCAGACGGTCAGTGTTCTGTGAAGTGCATTACCTGTTTAAAGCAGGATGTGTCAAAACCTCTGTGGTGTGACGGAATAACTTAAACTAGTCTATACCAAGTAGTCTAGACTCTAGATCTAGTCTACCAAGTAGACTATAAGTCTAAAGTTAGAGGGTCTAGATTCTATTACATGTGGACTTTGCCAGTAGTTCCTCTCGCACTTAAATTGGAAGCCACTCGAGCGGATCGGCCACTGAGAGCGCGTAAACTCGTTGTACAGCGCTCAATGCGCAAAGTTCTAGGGCACTAGCGCATCGACTTGGTCTTGGTTTCGAACCCGGGTCACCAGATTACGAGACTACTGCTCTACTAGACCGAAAGCTTCAGTCTCTCTAATCGTCGGTTGTTCCACTGAGACTACGTCTGGCTCCACTAGACCTCCGATTATAGAGACTGAAGTCTGGGGACCTCTTTCTGTGAGGCACTGTACAGAACAAATGGTTCGGTTCGACCGGACCGCGATGAATGAGATATGCAACGAGATTTTCACTCTTTACATCCTCATAACTGCTGCAATTATAACACAAATTAAAAATAACATATATATAGCTTATTTGACTTACGATAGCTTGCTCATTTAGATCCTAAATTAATGATTAATCCGAGAAAGTCTCGTAGTCAACATTATCCGTCTTGGTGTTAGTTGATGAATATTCATTTTTTCTTTTCGAACGTGCAATAGCTACCGTAGCTACGTACGAGTAAGCCCAGCTTGACCAACGAACTCCCACGAAACGAGTGCTCTGATTGGCCATTTGGCTATGTTTTGGTAGGTTGACCCGGAAATATTTTGGCCGCCGGGTCATATAGCCCTATGTTCCGAGTGCATGAACGTTCGGAGATACAAATTGGATAATTCATATAAGTAAGTCCGTAAATTATCCATTTAATATTGAGTTATCAAATTTTGATAACTGTAATTAGGACAAATGACATACCGACCTAATTTACATCTGATTTAGAAATCAGGAAATTAGATCTAAATAAAGAAAATCGGGGAGAAAATGTCGTGGACAAAAATATGCACATATAGGCCTATAGCCACCCCCACGGTACGAGATCTCTGGGTTGCCATCTGTATTGGGGAATGACAACAAATGTCAGTTTTATTAAAGAAATGACCCAAATCAGATGGTTATTGCTGTCTACTGCTCTACCAACTGAGCTTTCACGCCTCCATTCCCATGTGCATTGTTATGAAAATAATTATGCCTAGGCCTACTAGAACTCGGTCTTGGAATTGAATAAAATCTTGAGGCGATCATTCCTCTAAAGATATTTATTTCATTAAGCTCAAATATCTTGCTTAAATTTAAAATTAAATATATTTTTAAAATAGATTCTACTTCTAAACTCTAAAAGTAAAACTAAATTTTAAAAAGCAATCATTCAAAAATTCTAATTCTAACTTTACCCTCCTTTTTTAAACACAGTATTCATGATCTTGCATTCAAGCCTGATGGAACCCAACTTATTGTTGCTGCTGGCAATAGAGTATTGGTAGGTCATGATATTTTGTATGTTTTTTAGACTTCTGACTTTTTAATTGGGATATATTTTGTGTTTTTTCTTCTTTTTAAAAATATTTCTTTTATTTTTGTGTATAACTACTTGTTATTTTAAAGCATTGTTTTTTTTCTTGACTTGTCCTCCTTGTCCTCCTCCTTCTCTTTGTCCTCTTCCTCTTCCTCCTCCTTCTTATTTTTTCTTCTCTTCTCTGAAGTCCTCTTCCTCTTCCTCTGCATCAGTGCATCTTTTTCATCCTCTTCTTCCACTTCCTCTTCTTCCACTTCCTCTTCCTCGTCCTTCTATTTTCCTTATCCTTTATTTCCTTATCCTTTATTTCCTTACTTCTTTTCTTCCCCTTCCCTGTCCTCTTTCTTTTTTTTTTCTCTTTCTCTTCCTAAGTATTTCTTTCTTCTCTTTCTCTGTGTCATCCACTTGTTCTTCTCCTTCCTTTTCTTCATCCTCTCTTTCTTTGATCTCCTCCTCCTCGTCTTCTTCCTCTTCCTCTTTTTCATCCTCCCCTTCTCCGTCTTCCTCTTCCTTCTTTCTCTTACTCCTCTTCCTCTTTTTCATCCTCTTATTCTTCCTCCTATTCAAGTAACTAAGGAATTCACAATAATTGATGAACTAGCGTTGTTTAACACTTTCATAGCATAGAATATCTGCTCAAGACTTGTGTTGGTATCTACTATGTAGTCAAATCAAGATCCTAGCTTGGAAATTTTTTCTTCATATTTCATGAAATTCATTTATTCACTTTAAAATGTCTGAAAGTTGTCGCTGCATGGAGAATTTGCTTATAATGCTGAATACAATATCAATATCATTCTACAACAAACCATACAGGCTCTCTCTCATCAACTGTTTCGAACCTCCTCCATTTTATCAACTGCACAGAATTAAAGTTATACAATATATACACTCACTTACACTTGTTGTAGCGTGCGGGCAGGTCCAAGCTATTTGGATTGTGACGTACGGGACATTTAGAGACTTTAAACAAGAAATAACAACAGATGAAATTATTTATATGGCTATCTTTTGGTATGAGTTTGTGGCTATTATGGGCTAGTTCATTTGTGGAAAGTTTTAGTTCTGACCAATTTTTTAATTAATTTTTATTGTAATTAATGTGCTGCGTGACGTACGGGAGCGTCCCGTACGTCACGCAGCACATTAATTACACTCATTACAAATAGCTTGGACCTGCCCGTGCACATGTAATCCAGCTAACAGTGAAGGTAACAAACTGATTCAGCCAAAGACGCAGGTTTGAAACTGAGTCACGTCTTTCGGACGGTGATGTTTAAAGGTCGGTCCCCAGACGTAAATATTCATATCTGATTGATACACATCTGTGAAAACCCAATACACACACACACACACTCGTCTGCACCCAAATCAATGTCATGTTATCAAAGAAAGCATACCAATTATTTTAGCTTGCCCTCTCTTTGGAATTGAATGGACAAGACACAAGTAAAAGAAAATTGATAAACATTTTAAATTTTATTATGCCAGTATCACTCCTTGTAGCTTGTTTCTTATATTAAAGGTTTATAGATGGTGGTCCTGATTATCTTCTCTCAACCCATCGATACATTGTGTTCTTTATTACAGGTGTATGACACCAATGATGGCACACTTATGCAACCCCTGAAAGGCCACAAAGACACTGTGTATGCTGTGGCTTATGCTAAGGACGGTAAGAGGTTTGCGTCAGGGTCAGCCGACAAGACGGTCATCATCTGGACAGCCAAACTAGAAGGAATCCTTAAATACACGTAAGGCATCGTCAGTCAGGGAGTGACTTAGATTGAAAGAGGATCTTTGGAAAAATTATATATGCAGGCTTGAGATTGACATGCAATGAATACATGACGGTAAAACATGATGATGATGATGGTGGTAGTGGTGATGATGATGATGATGATGATGATGATGATAATGATGATGAGGATGATGATGATGGTGGTGTTGGTGGTGGTGGTGTTGGTGGTGGTGGTGGTGGTGGTGAGGATGATGATGAATTGATGATGATGATGATGATAGTGAGGAGAAGAGGAGGAGTATTTGATATAATATATAATAATAATGCATGGAATAGAACAGTATTTCACATGAGGTTTGGCATGTCATTCTTTTGAAATAATCAGACTATGAACTTTGTTTCTGTTCCTTGACAGAATGAGCAATCGGAATGGATCTTTTTTGATCTCTGTCTTTATGACATGTTTGACATCATTCCTTGTACCATTACAATAATACCATAATATTGTGATGGTAAGTTGTTATTGGTAAATTAATACAATTAATAAATTTCAAACCCTTTGGCATATGACTCCCTATAACTGAGCTCCTAAACTGAAGCTTGTCACATTATCCAGATGTGATAATAATATATGTGTTATTGTCACCAGACACAATGATGCAATCCAGTGCCTTGGGTTCAACCCCATCACACACCAGCTGGCTAGCTGTGCATTCAGTGACTTTGGTGAGTATGAACCCATTGAGAGTACCATAGCTAGAAATCATTCTAAGACTACAGGGTTTGTGGTAAACACAAGGGTTGACACTGTTTGCACTACAGACAGAAGCATTTGGTATAAAGGCAGTCGCAGAAGTAGCTACAAATCTTGGAGCTATAGATGTGAAGGTATACAACTCTTTTTCATAATGTTGTTAAGAGAGTTGGTGCCCTTCTGGCTCCAAACAGATGAAATATGCTTAACCTTTAGGACCTTGATTTTGGTAGTGCCTTTGATGATGTATATCATGTGCATTTTCTTTTTAAATTTTGTTAAAAACAATTGATTAATTTTAGAGTAGAGAATAATAATAATAATAAAGTAATTTTTATATAGCGCTTAATAATAAATTCTCCATGCGCTTTACAACAATCAATTATACAATAAATTACATGATTAATCTAAAGATTTAATTATGCATAAATTAACAGAAATATATATCGTATACAGGATGACAAAATAAGATATAATATAAATGATATAAACTTATGAACACAATTATAATGGTTAAATAATTACGATCTTTTATTGTAAGGAAATAACATAATTTGACATAAACTAGCATATATATAATTACAGACTATTGAGTGATCATAAATGTCTTCAGAAGTGATTTGAATGAGTCGACCGTCAGGGCGTTACGAATATTGAGGGGGAGGTTGTTCCATAGGGTGGGTCCATAGTAGCTGAGGGATCTTTCGCCGTAGAATTAGGTATGGGTGCGTGGGACTTGTAGGAGACTTTGTTGCTGAGATCGGAGAGTGCGGGCAGGAACATAAGGATGGATTATCTCACATAGATATAAAGGGGCTTTGCTGTGGAGTAACATAAGACCAACATAGAGAATCTACTTAACATGTATTACGGGAAATGCATTTTATTTATCTTACTGTTAATGACAATCAAATTCATGTACTGTTTGTTGCTTTCCTGGAAATCTTCAAGGGGAGAATACCAGATAAATATTAGAAAGATTGTTTGATCTACAATTTTGTTTCATTTTTTTAAAGGATTATGGTCCATGGAGCAAAAATCTGTATCCAAACACAAGGTGACAAGTCGCATCACATGCTGCTCCTGGACTAATGATGGCCAATACCTAGCTCTAGGACTGTACAACGGATGTATCATTATCAGAACAAAGGTAAAACTAAGTACAGACCTGTTTTTTTACATCAGGCAAATATTAAATTTTCTAAATTAATACCCCAACACCTTTGTTTCACCTTTCTCTTCGGCCAAAGTATTTATGTTATTTCTTGCCAATTCTTGGAGCCGTCAACCTGTCAAGCTGCAATTGGTTTTTAATGATTGTCTCTTTTATTATCCCCTCGCCGACGAGTTTTTTAAACTGCAAAATGAATAAAGACTGAAGTGAACTAAACGGAACATACATATAGCAGTCAAAATATGTAATCCCCCTTATATGTAATTCTAATACTTGTACTATATTATACAACATACGAGACAGAAACAAAATATATTCTAAATCTATTGTAGTGTCATTTAGGGTGCTTCCATTTTTTTCACCTTTCAACTCATAACTTTTATAATTTGATATATCTTTTGTAATAGTTCAAAAAGATAAAGTTAAAAAGATTAAATGTTGTGTACCTTAATTTGCATACTTCTTATTCAATGTCTGTACACATCAGTAATTATTTGTGTATAATTGTAAAACATAGTCATTGCATAATCATTTATTCACTATGCCTCAACGTGTGTATGTAAACAAAGTAGGCTTACATTTTGTTTTCTTCATTGTGCTAATCACTCATGAATAAGAACAATTTTACCAGGGGTTTTGCAAAGCTATACTGAATCTTTATATTTCTTACAGAATACACTTAGTTTAAAAAAAAGCCTATTAGCAGTATTATGTAGCTAACGTGAATGTTTTTGTTGTTGACAGAATGGTGAAGAGAAGCTCAAGATTGAGAGGCCTGGTGGTGGTCTGAGTCCTATCTGGAGTTTACAATGGAATCCATCAAAGTAAGTCATTGTACTGCAATCAATCAGCACTACTCAATACCATTGCTGCATTTGTGGCAAGCAGGAGATTACTGACTTGGCCCTTTGATTCTCTTCATATTATCAGAGGACTCTTTCGATATATTTAAAAAAAAAAATTAATTGTCAAGTTTCTCGAATGGGCCCTAAAGATCAAGTTCATTGAATGAAAATGGTTAATTCATGGTAAATTTTTTATTAATGTAAGACTAATTAGGTGTAGAAAAATTTTTCTAAATATTGTGAATTATATATTTAAAACTATAATGACTTCATAGTGCATACAATATCAGAATACACATACCTTGATACTTCATTCTAGTATGAATAAACATGAACATATGAATATGATTAGATATTGTTAAGGTTAAGGGTGTGATCATTATTTTAGTTGAGTGGAAATAATTTGAATGTAGCAGCAAAAGCTGATTGACAGTTGAAAATAAAGGCATATTGGAGACTCTGTCCCATTGATCTAGTTGTCTTTTTATTACTGATATTTACACAGATCAGTCTTTTTCTTCGGGTGAGTCTAGATATTTGACATCAATTTTATATGCTTGGTTGTAGAGAACTTTTGGGGTTCGTTTTGGAGTGTTTTGATTCTGTAGCAATGTTAATTAGGTTGAAATATCAGCCTCACACATTTGATTGTTGCAACGATGTGCAGAATTTGTGTTGGGCCTGATGATGGACTCTGCGATTTTTGTTTGTTTTTTATTTTGAGTTGCTTAAACTAATAATTATACAAAAATGTGTATGTAAGTAGGTATTTATTTGAAGTTGAATTAAGGGGTCATGGAGGAATTTGAGAGAAGTAAATTCAATTTGATGAGAATGTGAGAGTATGATGTGATATTTGCAGTTATATCCTCTTATTGTGTCTATCAATTTATAAAGATTGATTAAAATTGCCTTTAGTGATGTAAGAACCATGTGCCTGCCCTTTCAATATACAAATCAATTTATTGATGGAATTGGTCACAGCTATTTTTCATTTTAAAAAAAGTGCAGTTCAATTGTGAAATGTTTTTACATACCGATGTACTTGAAACTTAGCATTATTTTGTGTTCTTGAGGAACAGTGAAATGCTTTGAATGTTGTCAGTTTCAGGAGCACTGAGGTCACTTTTAGTTAGTCTTAGGAGCCAAATATTCTGACTGCATTATTTGATAGCGAAAAGGACTTGGTCAAAGTGTCCCTATAATTTGTTATTTTGAGGATTGCTTCACGGCATAGTACTCCATGGCCTCTGGATAAATAGACTTGTCAATTTAACTTGTATTAACTTCATTTTCTCTTTCATTATTACCCTTTAAGGGAGGAATCTACCGACAATCTAGCTGTCCTGGATTGGGGCCAAAAGTTGTCTTTCTACAATATCTCTGGATCACAGGTATGGTAGCTTACAGGGACTTATCCCTTTAATTTAAAATGAAAAATATTGCACTGGAATAGATTTGTTTTAGCTAGGAGCTTTACTGGTACATGTACAGTACATGAGTTTCATCAGCACCTTTATGTATGCAACTACCGGTAGATATTGTTGCTCCAGAATTCTCTAGGTAGATTGCATTGGCTTGGATGCATGCATGGCTTCCAATCCTGTAATTGAAATTCTAATCAAAGTTTCGGTATATGTTAATGTTATGTTTCATTTGAAATACAGAACTTTGGAGAAAGAAAAAAAGTACTATTCATACAGTCATGGAGAAAAGAATTGATCCATATACATATATTTTAAGCAGTTTGCTGTTCAATTAAATTAGTGCATTAATGCTTGAAAAATAACCTTTTATCAAATATGTTGTTACTTCTGATCAGATCAGCAAGGATCGTAATTTGAACTATGACCCCTGCTGTCTGAGCTACTTCTCTCGAGGAGAGTACTTGATCATCGGAGGGGCAAACAAACAGGTGACCCTTCACACCAAGGATGGGGTGCAGCTTGGGGTCGTTGGGGAGCAGAACTCATGGGTGTGGTGTGCCAAGGTCAGACCAGACCAGAATCATGTGGTAAGTGGGTGGGTGTGGTCCAGGAAGGTCACGTGATTACCTTAGTTAGAAAGCATGTTTGTAAGAAGTGTCATGTTCACATAGATGATTTATGCAATTATAGATCACAGGCGAGCACTAGTATCTTTCAGTTGGATGTTATCTTCATTTGCCACTCTTCACCCAGGTTAATTAGTAAATGGATATTTGGTAGGAAGAAATGCCTTGAATGCTTGGTTGTTTCATCATGTCAGCTCGGCAAGAAGGGGTTGATAAAGGGTATTCAGTGCTTTGTATCTTCAGGGAAGAAGCTCTATGTTGATTAGTCAAATTTGAACTAGTATTATCATTTTAAAATACATGTGCTTTCAACAACAAGACAAAATCCATCTTTAGCAATAATTATAGTACATGTGTGGGATATAACCATTTGTTTGTTCATGAATGCAACCTGAAGTCATCTCACTCATCTTCCTTCTCCTTCTGCCATCTCTCTCTCTCTCTCTCTGTCTCTCTCTCTCTCTGTCTCTCTCCCTCTCTCCCTCTCTCTCTCTCTCTCTCTCTCTCTCTCTCTGTGTGTCTCTCTCTCTCTCTGTCTGTCTGTCTCTCTCCCTCTCTGTCTCTCTCTCTCTCTCCAGGCTGTTGGTTGCCAAGATGGAACCATCGCTCACTACCAACTCATCTTCAGCACAGTTCACGGTCTCTACAGGGACCGCTATGCCTTCCGGGAGAACATGACTGACATCATCATTCAGCATCTCCTCACTGACCAGAAGGTCCGCATCAAGTGCCGCGACCTGGTCAAGAAGATCGCCATCTTCAAGAATCGTCTTGCAGTGAGTTGGCTTGCTTGAGTTGCTGTAAATCATTTTGGGGAGGGGTTGACGGAGGTTATATTTAGAATCAAGAATTTTTTAAAGCATACTAAGGTTAGTCCTAGACGGAATAGGTATAGATATTCCTCAGATGCAGTGTAAAGTGTCATTCTCTCCATTCTGTGAAATTACATTTGTTATTTAACCAAATGAACAAAAAGTCATGTCATTGTGAACTCATTTTCATTTCTTAATTATTTCATGATGATTAGCAAAATACATGTGCTTATCATTGTTATTGAATAGATCTACATTATCCTAATTACTAATACTTGTCATTACTATTATTACCATAACCACCATTATCATTAATAAGGTTACTTCTTTGAATTTGTCTCTGATATATAGGAATTTCAAGGTAAATAGACAGTAACATATCAGAAATCAGTGATAAATTATATTTAGTAGCAGCGTCTTGATTACTACTTGTGTTTATGGTCCTCCAGGTGCAGTTATCAGACCGGATTGTAGTCTATGAGCAGTACTCTGACGATGCCTCTGACATGCACTACAGAGTCAAAGAGAAAATCAATAAGAAGTTTGATTGCAACCTTCTGGTCGTCTGTGCTGAACACATTATCCTGTGCCAGGTCAGTATTTTGTCCAACTTTTAGGGAATTTCACATGCTGATGAATTACCCAATTTTATGTTTAATTCTAGTAGTATATTAGTACTATGATATTTTGTTGTTGCAACACATATGTGATCATCACACAGTGCAGAGCACAATCTTTCAGTAACTTCATGGGCTGAAATATTGGGAATTTAGAAGTAGGTCTTTTTGCAAGTTTTAAACACATAATTCTGCAACTTTTCTGAGTAGTTTCTTGTCTTACATTCTTGTGATGTTTGAGCATTACCATGTATTACAAATGGTTTGTAGATTTTTAATATGGTAACAGATGTATATACCCTGCAATGGTTTCACAGATCTGTTGGAAAATAACATTTATCCATGCCATGCAATACTGTAGCAAATACGCTGTATAATTTAAGTTTATACATGTTATTTTTAGCCTACAGGTGTACATGCACCAGTATATCCTTGTATATTCTGGGGATAGATTTACCTTGATTAACAGAATTAAGTAAGAATTTTATCCTTATCTTGAATGATTTCCAGGAGCGTCGTTTGACAAGTCTGACCTTCAAAGGTGTGAAAGACAGAGAATGGGTAATGGAGGCTTTGATCAGGTACATTAAAGTCATTGGTGGCGCTGAAGGCAGAGAGGGTCTACTGGTTGGTCTTAAGAATGGCCAGGTAATGTGTCTTTTTGTTTGTTTAACTTGATAACAACATCAGCAAAGTGAAAAAGATTTATCTTCATATAGAGGAAAACCCATTTCAGTGCTTGCTTTTGTTTTTCACAAAATGTTTATTTTTCTTGCACATGATGATACCTGTGTCATTGCTATCACTACTCTTGACCTCAATATAAAAAAGATCTGTTAAAATTTCCCGAGTCATTTGTCTGTACAAATGCCATAATTTAATGGTTCATTCTCTTGCCTTTCAATCTGTAGATTATGTGTTTGAATCAATCCCAGTCAGACAATTATGTCTTTGGCAAAGACATAAATCTGAATTTGGCTGTGTCCACCCAGATGTAAATGGGTACCTGATATACCTGAATACTACCTATTGCCTGCTTGTTGTATTTCTTTAAGATTTCACTAAACCAGAAGAAAAACGATATTTACAGCAGCTAAAAGTAAAAGTATAGAATTGTTTATCAAATAAATAAATTCCAAGAAATCTGATGAAAAGCTTTTAAAAGGGGCTAAACAAGACTCTGAATTTGCATGAATATCTCTTCCCATATTATGTAGCTCTTGAATTGTTCGATTCATTCTCTTCAGATCTTCAAGGTGTTTGTGGACAACCCTTTCCCCATCCTGATTCTGAAGCAGCAGACTTCTGTCAGATGTCTGGACATCAGCTCGTCTCGAAAGAAACTAGCCGTGGTCGATGAACACAACACCTGCATGGTCTATGATATCAATACAAAAGAACTTCTCTTCCAGGTATGGTCAAGTCAAACCATTATATAAAGACCGCTCATAGGACACAAGAACAGTGGTCTATACAGGCAATGATTATGTATGTATAGGTTATTTAAGTACAGATATCTATGTGAAAAAAGTTTCAAGAGAAGAAAAAAAAAAGTGCTTTTATAGACATATGTGGTCTATATCTATCCACAAAAGTCACAGAAGCAGGTTTCACTGAAGGGACTTAGATAAAGTTGATGTTTAGGGAAATGTTCATCATTAAGTTTTGAGGGTGTATAACTAAGTAAAATTGTGAAGATTTTAATAAGCCTTACAAGGCTTAACCTCACAGTTATAGAGACAACTAGCCTGATGTAGGGTTCCACATATAAGTTTTACAGGTCCAGATTGGAACTATTGTGGTCTGTATGCATCGGTCATCTAGAAGAGTTAGAATTTAGGGGCCGTGTATCAAGGGTCTCTTAGTGTCCCGATCGAGCCCTGCCTCATTAAACCTTCTTTCTAATCATCTCAGGAGCCAAACGCCAACAGCGTAGCCTGGAACACCCAGTACGAGGACATGCTGTGCTTCTCCGGGAACGGAACCCTAAACATCAAGGCTAGTACCTTCCCTGTCAAGCAACAGAAGCTCCAGGGTTTCGTGGTCGGGTTCACTGGGTCTAAGATCTTCTGTTTGCACATCTACGCTATGACCACTGTAGAGGTACCCCAGTCCTCTGGCATGTATCAGTACCTGGAACGCAAGCAATTCAAGTGAGAAATCCTACATGCGCTATCCCACCATGAGAGTTTTTTATACAATAATGCTATTACATTAATATATATTACATGGATTGATATAATGTAAGGAAAAAAAATCAATGGGAATTGTGGAAGGATTTATATCCTCAGTGGAAAAAAAATTTGTCTCAAGATTTTCACTCGACCCACCATCAGTGTTGCCTGGTGGTGATCTCGGCCACAAAAAAAATTGTAAATTTGTTGATTACTTGAAAGCCTTGGTGAGAAAAGTTAACTTTGTCACCAAACCAAAATTGGATATAAATATTAAATAAAATAAATCAATCGGAAGGTACAAGAAACACTGTTCTTTTGTTTTTTTTACATATGAAATTTTTGACAAAAACCCGAAAGCCCAAAATTTGAATTAAGATTAAAACAATTTTAACAAATATCATCCCTTATTGGTAAAGTGATATCAGACATTCTATGAATTTTTAGTGATTTTGGTTAAATTTTGACATTTTTGGTGATATTTCAGAGATGCATACAAAGTGGCATGCCTAGGAGTGACGGTCAAGGACTGGACTGCCCTCGCCCATGATGCTATACAAGGCCTGGACTTTGACACTGCCAAGAAGGCTTTTACAAGGGTTAGAGACCTACGCTATCTGGAACTTATACACAGCATAGAGGTCAGTTTCTATCTCTTTCTCTCTCTCTCTCTCTCTCTCTCTCTCTCTCTCCCTCTCTTTATCTCTCTCTCTCTCTCTCTCTCTCTCTCTCTCTTTCTCTATATATATCTCTCTCTTTTTCTCTTTCTCTTTCTCTCTCTCTCTCTCTCTGTCTGTCTGTCTCTCTGTCTCTCTCTCTCTCTCTCTTTATTGCCTGCCACTCACTTTTTTGTTTGAAACCAAGATGGAGCATGGTACATGTTGATTTTATTTCAGTAGTAGGATTATGATTAGGGATATCTGGAACTATACATAATAGAGAGGTCAGTATCTTTCCAATCTCATGTCCTTTCTTTCCACCCAAATCTTGAAATGGTAAATATAATTAGCATATAGAGATCAATCTTCACATTTATTTATCAATCTTATGATTACACAAGAAAGTACCCTTGGGGCCTTTGTTGCTCCCAGCTTCTCTTATATCACATTGATCTGCCATTGATTGAGACATAATATGTTTCAAATTTTACTGCTAAATAGGCAGTATATTGCATCATGTATGGACATGCCTTAACTGCTATGTTGACTTAGAGGTAGGCCAGTTCAGTTATAGATAGAAATGAATCCATCAAAATTCAGTAGAATTTTTAAATGGTGGGTTACGTATAGAGTTTTTTTGTAGCAAATTTTGTTCTCAATTTTTGTTGATGCTTTACACTTTAACCTTGATCCGCACAGGAGCGTAAGCGTCGTGGGGAGGTGGACGATCAGCTGTTCTTGGCCGACATCTATGCCTACCAGGGCAAGTTTGGTGAAGCAGCCAAACTATACAAGAGAGCTGGCCAGGAGCAGAGAGCTATGAACATGTACACGGACCTGCGTATGTTTGACCATGCCAAGGTAATCAACGAGCTTCATCAATTATTCTTGATGTCAATATTACATTATTTGAGCAATGAAATGCATTGGAAACAAAATAGTGGCAAGTTGTGATTTTTTTAAAGTTTAGTTTTAATGATATGGTGTTTCATTGCAATATTGTCAGACCCTTTCATTTGCTGCATGAGCTGGGCTGATAGAATGTATTACAAGTACCACACAAGGAAACCGAGATATGTGTCTTGGTAGCTGAAAACTACTATACTTAGGCTTGAAAGTGGCATATATATACTCAATTAGCTGATCATGATACAAGATGGTCTCTAATTACCAACAATCCTGATTCATTGGCTCTGGAGACTCACAAGGCAAGAAGCTCCTGATTACAATTATGAAGAGTCATATAAGCTGGGGCTTGAAAATACTGAACTTGTTCTTTAAAAGTAGAACATATTTAAAGCAAAGTGGAAATCGGTGTTAGGAAAATAATTGCTTTTATCATTTGTTCCCTTGCTTAATTCAGGAATTCATTGGATCTGGTGACCCCCAAGACAAGAAGCTCTTAATCACCAAGCAAGCAGACTGGGCTAAGAACATCAATGAACCTAGAGCTGCTGCTGAGATGTATCTATCAGCTGGAGAACATCTCAAGGCTATAGAGATCATAGGAGACCATGGATGGGCTGACATGTGAGATCTTTTCTCTAACTCCTTGTTTTCCTAGGTGGCAGAATGGTTTGATATATAACATTCCATATACCCTGCATATGAATATGTAGTTGATTGCTAAGTGATAATACAGTCAAGTTTAAATCTTTTCATCTGAAATGATGTGTATACTTTTTCAACTGTAGCCTACCCTGTATACAATGATCTAGCTGTCAGATTCACAACAAGAACCTGCCAACTTTGTGTTTTTTCTTTATGTAACTATTTTGTAAATGCTCATCTGTCAAAGACATGGGTGATAAAGACTGTTATAATCTACTTTGATATCTTGTCATCTTTACAGTAGGCTGTTTCCCTTAAATTTCTCTTTCCTTCAATCTTGGTGGACATGCAGTAACCTATTTGCTGTACCTTTTTCTTCTCATTGTATGACCTACAAACTTCCTTCAAATATCCATCCCACATTTTTGGTCTTTTCAGGCTCATTGATGTTGCTCGAAAGTTGGACAAGGCAGAGAGGGAGCCCCTTGGGAAGTGCGCCCAGTACTTCAAGAAGATGGAGCAGTTTGCCTATGCTGCTGAGACTTACACCAAGATGGGTGACACTAAGAACCTTGTCATGCTTCATGTAGAGTCTCGTCACTGGGATGCTGCCTTCCGTCTGGTCGACAAACATCCAGAGTTCAAGGTCAAACAGTCAAACCTCTATAAATTAATCTTCACTAGAGTTTTTTTTTTCTTCTAAAAACTTTTGCATAAATGTATACAAAATATTTTACTTGAGAGAGTCTTATTATCTTTTTCTTTTTTTTTACTGGCCCAAGAAGTGAAAGTTTTATATGTCACTTTGAAGGTATCTTTTGTTTTCTTACTTTTCCCATCTCAGGATGATGTCTATGTCCCATACGCTCAATGGCTAGCAGAGAATGACAGATTTGAGGAAGCACAGAGAGGTTTGTATGATGATATTTTAAGACACTGAATACGTTTAGATTTCTTTTTAAAACTATTTTTAATGGATTCCATGGACCTAATTTTAACTATCGGGAAATGAAAAGTAGTCCAGGAAGATGCTAGAGGAGATGGGATCAATTGAGCAGCTTCACCCAAGCCAAGTATTACTAGGAGAAGTATAGCCTCTTAATTCCTGGGGCTGAAATAGGGTTCCCCCATGCGCGATCCTTCATGATGTTAGCCTTGGTATCATCCCTGTTAGGATCATGGCCAGCTAGTTAAACCAGCTTAATGGGAATGAAGCCTTCCTGATAATTGATTTAATATTGAGCATGATCGACCATTCCTTTAAAAATCTTATTCCTTTCATTTGTAGCATTCCACAAGGCCGGTCGACAGGACGAGGCTGTCAGAGTGTTGGAACAGCTTACCCACAATGCAGTTCTTGAGAGTCGGTTCAACGATGCGGGATACTACTTCTGGATGCTGTCCATGCAGTGCTTGGACATAGCAGGAGGTTAGTAGAGTGGCATTATGAAGTGGACATCATGCTTTCAGGCCTCATCATAGTCTTGTCCTTCCTATCACGAATCATCCCTTTCCTTTAAATGATTACCAAAGTGCACATGTAATTCATTACCCCCAAACACATTATATTGATTCCTTCTGTACATTTAGGTTTATGTGTATTAACAAATATTCTCAAAGAATTTTTCAAGGTTTTTACAAGTATTTCCCTCTATTTATTTAAATACCAGGTAAAAAACAGTTTTGATGTATTACATCAAGAGTATCCCTATGTCAAATGCAATTCTATGTAAATTACATAGAGGCAGTTTTTTATATCATGCACTTTAAAAGAAAGTTTTATCATTACTATTTTTTATTCCTCTTGTATTTCATCTACACAGCTGACACAGACAAGAGACGGGACATGCTAAGCAAGTTCCAGGAGTTCCAAGCTAAAGCTGAAATGTACTACGTCTATCATTCCATCCAGCGCTACACCGATGAACCGTTCACGTCTCATCTCCCAGATGCTCTGTTTAACATGTCTCGATACTTGTGGCATGCCATTCTCAACGACATACCACATGGCATCAGTAAAGTGTATCCTTGGATTGTTATTAAATGTCCACTCTATAGCCTGAATTCCTGAAGGGTGCTATAGTTTCAAGTATACCAGTACCTGAACATGTTTTGATCTTGATGTAAGGGGTTCCAAGTCAATGTACTTTATTTAAAATATGAGCTCCAAATATTACTTCTATAAAGAGATATTGCAGGCAAATACGGTATAAAGAGACATTGTATTAAGCGCTATACAAAAGCTAAATACTATAAATATTATTATTATTTAAATAATGGCACGGTTAGGTATAATGTTTAGTTAGTGTATTAAAATTCATTATGGAGCAAATGTTACTAGGACAATTATGACTGGAGTATGTATGTGCTATAGAATCTGTGCTTTCCTTAACACCCTGATGCTTCAGGAACACCCTGTATGCCCTAGCCAAGCAGAGCCGTAACTTAGGGGCCTTCAAGCTGGCTCGCTTTGCCTTTGAGAAGCTGCAGTCTTTGAGGATTCCTCTGAGGTTCCAGGAATCCATTGACCTTGGCAGTATCACCATCAGGTCCAAGCCTTTCCATGATGCTGAGGTAATGTCCTAGAGGGATCAGATAGAACGGGGCAGTGTCTCGTAAAACCTATCATAACTTAAGCACAAGTTCACTGACACCCCATTGACACATATCTCTCTGCAGAATAGTTAAAACCCTTGTCTATCCTATCAAACTTTGTACGAATGTCAATTTCATTTCAATATTATTTTTTACTGGTATCTATTTAGTAAAAGCTGTTATATAGTTGTACTATGTAGAGCGTAAAGTGATATCATCATTAAATACGTATAATGAAATTTATACTTTCCAGTGGGATGTTTGTAGACAATGCCTAGGTCTTGTACAGTACCGGTACTCTGTACCTTTGAATAGGTCTTGTATTGCTCTTCATGAATATAACAAAGATACACAACTACACAAAAGTCAAGTACCGCAGGAAAACATCAGTTTGTTATTATAGTAACCTAATTGAATTCTGAAGGATTGAATGGATCAGCTTTTCTTCTTCAAATTGGTATCTTTAATGTTTGATGTTTTCCAATGAATATCTTTCTCTCTTTATAGGATGTTCTACCGATGTTTGATGTTTTCCAATGAATATCTTTCTCTGTGTGTAGGATGTTCTACCGATGTTTGATGTTTTCCAATGAATATCTTTCTCTGTGTGTAGGATGTTCTACCGATGTTTGATGTTTTCCAATGAATATCTTTCTCTGTGTGTAGGATGTTCTACCGATGTTTGATGTTTTCCAATGAATATCTTTCTCTGTGTGTAGGATGTTCTACCGATGTTTGATGTTTTCCAATGAATATCTTTCTCTGTGTGTAGGATGTTCTACCGATGTTTGATGTTTTCCAATGAATATCTTTCTCTGTGTGTAGGATGTTCTACCGATGTTTGATGTTTTCCAATGAATATCTTTCTCTGTGTGTAGGATGTTCTACCGATGTTTGATGTTTTCCAATGAATATCTTTCTCTGTGTGTAGGATGTTCTACCGATGTTTGATGTTTTCCAATGAATATCTTTCTCTGTGTGTAGGATGTTCTACCGATGTTTGATGTTTTCCAATGAATATCTTTCTCTGTGTGTAGGATGTTCTACCGATGTTTGATGTTTTCCAATGAATATCTTTCTCTGTGTGTAGGATGTTCTACCGATGTTTGATGTTTTCCAATGAATATCTTTCTCTGTGTGTAGGATGTTCTACCGATGTTTGATGTTTTCCAATGAATATCTTTCTCTATGTTGAGGATGTTCTACCGATGTTTGATGTTTTCCAATGAATATCTTTCTCTGTGTGTAGGATGTTCTACCGATGTTTGATGTTTTCCAATGAATATCTTTCTCTGTGTGTAGGATGTTCTACCGATGTTTGATGTTTTCCAATGAATATCTTTCTCTCTTTGTAGGATGTTCTACCGATGTGTTATGTTTTCCAATGAATATCTTTCTCTGTGTGTAGGATGTTCTACCGATGTTTGATGTTTTCCAATGAATATCTTTCTCTCTTTGTAGGATGTTCTACCGATGTGTTATCGCTGCTCTACCACCAACCCCCTGCTCAACAACCAAGGGAATCAATGTATCAACTGCAGTCAACCTTTCGTCCACTCCTTTGCATCCTTTGGTGAGTAGACATTGATTGTAAATCTTATGTTATCCACTGGAGTATCATGAATGAACATGATTGCTTCCCGTGACATACTTGTATGAAAATGTCACCTGTTAACAATAATGACGACTGTGGCTGCCATTTCATATATACGTCTTCACTTTTCTGCCACTATTATATATATATATGGAATATGGGCATACTTTGTACCAGCAAATGGATTCTTACCTTACCTTATTCTACATATATTCTTTTGTCATGTGTAAATTTGCAATATTTGTTTGTTATATATTTGTAAAAATGCAAAAGAAAAAGAAAATCAAACAGAAATAAATAAATCAAAATCAAATCAAATCAAAAAACACCATCACAATCAAAGAGTGAATGCAAAAAGTAAATGGCAGTTTTTTTTTCTCCCTATTATTTTCATCAGGACAACCTCTATCTCAAACCTTTGAATACACTTTCTATCATTTTCATATTATTTTAAGGAAAAGCCTCATGTAGGTGACCTGAAGTTGAGAAAGTGACATTAAGCTGATTCCAGTGTTTTAGGAATATATATATTTTGTACACTGGTTCTTTGTTCCTCTTTACTACTTTACAATCATAGATTTTTATGACAAAAATCTTTTGCTATTTGTAATTTACAGAAGATTTGTTTTTATTGTATTGCAAAAATTCAGTGTGGCATCAGTTGTAATTGAATTATTTCACGGCATGAAACTTTTGCGAACCTTGACAACTCATAAAAATTGGTGAACATTCCATACATGCGAAAGTTCTAGTATCCATACACTCATAATTGAAATAAACCTAGTATTGTTTAAAATTTGTGCAAATTTAATTGCTCTTCAATGCAGTAGATACGAAAATTTGAAATCGAATAGAGTTACATGTCCACACTTGACTTAATATACAAGTACCTGTGATAAAGTGAAGCTATATTGACTCCATGCACATGCAGAGGTGCTCCCTCTGGTAGAGTTCCACCTGGAGGAGGGGATCCCTGATGAGGAGGCAGTCCAGCTGATCCAGGTGGAGCCACTCAGGAAGGGCCGAGGTGGAGCTGATAAGTGGAATGAATCTAACACAGGCAACGTCCAGTCTATGAGGCTGGATGAGTATGGAGGGAATGATTCAGATGACGTTCAGGAAGACCCATTCACTGCTCGACTGCTCAGCTTTGAGGTAAGCCCCCACCCCCACCCCCCCCCCCCAAAAAAAAAAGAGGAATGTCTGGAATTTTGTTGAACTTTCTAGGGTATTTTGACCCAGTGCTAATAGACTACTATCTAGGTGAGACCCCATCCCCTCCTCCCCAAGAGGAATGTTTGTATTTTTTAGAATTTTAAGAGTATAGTGCTGATATGGTGCTGTGTAGGGATACTATAAGCAAAGTCAAAGAAATAAAAATCATTAATAAATCTAAGTGTTTCTGATAATGCGCTTCTTAATGTCCGTTACATAATGAGAATAGTTTTGAAATATGTCGTAAAAATGTGCAAATTTTGAAATTTGTAGATGCACTCAAAATTTATTTTAAATACAACATATCAGATCAGGAGTTGATATACTGTATAACCCCACTTTTGGTTGGTAAAAATTTGTTGTCTTTTTTATTGGAAAAAAAAGGATGCATGACTTTGACTGAAGCTCTTCAAGTTGAACTCTATTTCTATGATACCTTCATCATTTTCCATTGCAGCAAGGAGGAAACGAGTTTGTCCCGGTGGTGGTCAATCGAGCAGTCTTGAAGACTCTTGACCGGAGTCATGTGGTGGTCAAGAGATGGCCAGCTCCTCTACGCTATCAGTACTTCAAGTCCATCATGCCTGATGTATCGGTCACTGTATGTGCTTCATGTAACCAGGTGAGGAGTGGTGGTTGTGGTTGCAGGATCTGAGTTTTCTTGGATTATAGAAAAGAGCCTTGTCTGAATGGATTCTAATACCCTAGTCACAGCAGTGAGACTCGCACCACACTGATTACAGACTCAACAACAAAATGATATTACCCTGAATGACCAGGAATCATGTGGTTTGGAAATGGTTCAGCAGTGTGACTCATCATACCATAGGGCACCAACACATCTAATGTACTGTTTACCTGGGGTCTCGTAGGTTTAGAAACACTGATTAACGTTAAACCACTGAGCCTTTGCATGCTGGATTTAGCAAACATCAAGATCAAAACAACTAGAGAAATGGTAGGTTGAAAAAATGATAGGGTCTCTAAACTTGTCGTAAGGAAGATCGCTAACAATGATGACATGATCCTTACTGGAATATGGAAGCTATGTGATTTTTCATTTCATTTCATTCGTTTAATTTAATTTAATTTTTCAATACCCTTCCTAAGTCATATGATTGGATTCATTCTTATATGTCTTTGTCCCTTCTCACGTTGTATGTCTTATCTATATAACTTGAAAGCTTCCACTTGTACAGTTTCATTAGTTTTCCTATGACTGATAAATCTTTCTAATTTGTTTTTATCTTCTCTTCTTTTCTTGTCTTGCAGCTGTTTCACACCGATGAGTATGAGATCCAAGTCCTTCAGAAAAATCACTGTCCATTCTGTCGCAAGGCTGTACCAGAAGCTACAGAAACCTGAATCTGATCATCATTGATACCGTCCACTTGTATCAGTATCAACAGACACTAGCAGGCTCTAATATTCTACAGCCTTGTTTACACCTAATGCAGAGAAGTAGCATTACTAAACATTTCTGCATCTTGTATAACACACTTAAAGTAGGTCCGCCTCTGGGCCTTTGTTGCACTCTGCTGCCTATTTCATCTCCATCTGCCTTCCATTTATTTCGTATTGGTAAAATTAAAAAGAAATTGTAGGTAGTTTACATGTGTAAACAAGGTCTTATATGTCTGTTCACTGCTCAAGGAAGCTACATTTATTCTACAGCTATATTTATTCTACAGCTATCATCATCATGATTTGACCACAACACCATTTCTATATATAGTTCCATTGCCTTGAGTTTGTTCTAATTTCTCCAATGCTCCAAAACTCTTTTTCCAAAGTGCTCTTCTATTTATTTTAATTTTTCTTGTTTATTTAATTTTAATTTTTACTTTTCCTGTCTTAATATATATATATATATATATATATATTTTTTAAATTTTTTTTTTTTTGGGGGGGAACGTTGATGTCATTTCGTTTACTGACAATCTTCATTTTACAAGAGCAAATGAGGATTGCGATCTACATTTAAAACTCTTTCCCAAAGATATTTTAATTACCTGTTTGAATCACTTCTTGATTCTTTTTACACTTTTTTGTTAACTATTCACGATTTCAAGAAAGGATCATGTCTAAACTTCCACTTAATGTATGAATGCTGAAATGTATGTATACTGCACAAACCTTATGAACTTATGTGCGTCTTAAAGGCTTTAGACTGAAGTTCTTCTTCATAAAAATGTTTAAAAAGGCAGGAAAAACCACTATCTGATCTGATGACATCTCAAGATCTATTCAATGTAATATTATTTCATTCATCAATGTGTGTGATTTATGTATAGTAAGAAAGACAATATGTATTCATATGACTGTGTATTTAAAGTCAAAACCAAATACTGCAGCTGGAATCCAAATAGATCTTTGATAATTAATGCAAATAAAGAAAACCTGTAGGAATCTTAAACAGGAATTTTACCCTACTAATCTCATGATCTGTGAAGCATGATGCAGTGTAATGTATTGTTAAAATAGAGGTATATGGAATTAATGTTGATATTGTTTTTCAAATAGTTCTCTTATTTGTTTGAAGGGTTGCGGTTAGGTAACTAATCAGTTTAAAGGAGAAAAAAATAAATCAGAAATTGTCATGACTACAATTACCTTGTATTCTCCTGCAATCATAGTAAGAGAAATTTGAATTTAATAATATATGTTTAAAAAAATTAGTACCCGGTACACCTAAACTATGTGAGTAAAGCGCAAATATGCCAAGCTAAATTTTTCATTTATGTTTAAATACTCTCAAAAATAAGATGGCAAAATGATGAAAATAATTTAGGAAATATCTACACCAATGGTTGGTTGGGAATGAGGTCATTGTTGGACGGGTGACTTGTTCACTTATTTGCTACATCACTGCAAGCATAGAAATATATATATATATATATATATATATATATATATATATATGTCATTTCTCCCCCCCCCCCCCACCCCTTTTTTTGTTTGTGCTTTTGAAATAAAGATTCCAATATTTTATGAATGAATCAGAATGGTGGCCCACCCCTATGAAACTGATTTGAATATCAGTTCAGAGATAAAGGTACTCCCACTGGTTTTGCAGATCTGATGTAAATAGTACATGTACTATGTTAAAGTTATATGGAAACCTTGAATACAAACATTTTTATAGTTCTCACTACTCTGTTGAAAGTACTTCAAAGACCTTAAGATGTACTGTTTGCTAGTAGATACTTTATTGTATGTGACCATTCATCTTGAGACAGTAGAATCAATTATGTGTATATTTTGATCACAGCAAATTTTGTAAAGAAAATTGAGTGTATTCATTTGTAAATATAATTTGTGAATGTTAGAAAATTCCTATTTATGATAAAAGCTGTAAATTAAAAGACTTCTCATACCTGAATGCACCTCTCCACCTGTTCATTATTTATAATGCATTTATATTCATAAGTGACATCATTATCAGTATTATTGACAAGAGAGGGTTTTAGAGGGAGACCTAACCCTTGTTCCAACGATATTTGCTCTTATTTTGTCAAAAATTAGTGAGGTTTAGTGAGGAGTGATCTAGGGATGAAGTTGGGAATTTTGAAAATGTGCATGTTGCGAAGTCAATGAAGCATGAATTAAACAAAAGACAAACTTGTATACTGTACAGTAAAGCATATTTTATTGATTAAGGCTTCCTCACAATGCAAGCCCTGACAACCAACATAAAAATTATTTAAATGGCATCACAATTTACAAACGTACAAATGCAAGAAAAGCCTACTGCATGATGATCACTAAAATAATTGTAATAACTACTGATAAAACTCATCAAGTAAAGAAATGAAATTACAATAAAATAGAAGAGATATTTATTCATAAAATTTTAACGCAAGGCAATTCTTATCGACATACATGTACAAAATTTGTGTATCTTTTCCTATTGAACTATGAACTGATATCAGAGTATGTTAGATTGAGCTTCATGACAACTTCTCTCTTTTATAAGGGATCATGCATGTCATCAAACATTGAGATTTTTTAAGACAGTGATATTCTGAAGAAAAAAAAAGTAGCTCAGCTATTAAAAGTTTGTGTGAGATTATCTTGGATACAGACTCACTAGTGCAAGTACAAAATAAAAAACCTTTCAAATATATAACAATAACTGTGTTATTCATGACAGTATTTATATAATATTGGATGGCTTTGAGTATGACACAAGAATATATTGCTTGAGCTATGACAATATTTGACGAGTCACAGATGAGTCTAATATTGTCTTAGCGAGAGCAATATATGTTTGTATCACACAAAAACAAAGCCATACAATATTATTATTCTGACTAGCGAAATAACAAAATTTGACTTACCTCGGTAAATATGGCTTTGTTTTTGTATGATATCGATATCAATAGTTGGAAGTTCCCGGATGACTGAGCAGTACGAAAACCATATTGGTCAGTCAGCCGGGTACTGCGCTACAGATATTGAATACGCTGATTTATTGTACCACATGGAAGCCTTATATAAATAATAATGTTATATATTATATGTGTATGAAGAAGATATACATCTTCTTGCACATGTTGTATCATCTCGGCTTGTTACAAAGAATATGGAGTACCAGATAGAATTGCTGCAACAAGCAGGCCTACATAGTGTACAGAGATAATTAAGCTACATGTACAACCTTTTAAGACTTTAAGCTGTCACAAAAGACAGCTCTGGTTTTGCAAATGAACCCTTAAACCTCTCCAATATTTACAAGAAAACTTTTCAAAGATAACGCAAGAACATGCACATGAATGAACTCTACATTTTATAGCGAACATACATGTAGGTACACTGAGACTTGCACTCAAGTATATGGTAGTTATTTTTTTTGTTTTTTGAAACCTTCTTTATTTCTATTATTATTCTGCTCGCTGCTCAAGCACTGATGGTTATATCCATGATTTCAAAAAAATTAAACTGATCAAATTACAGCAAAGCTCACAAATCACGGCATTTCAAGTACTTGCCATATTTCCCTACTCCAAAATACCATGAACCAACTGAGGAGGTTACACAATGAACTAAGTATCAAAGTAAAAACACAATCATCCCATATTTTTATTGGCAAGCTTAACATCACAGATTCCTCGCATAATTTTTTTTAAAGCTGCTCTGCTAGTTCAAGACAATATTTTCATTGTTTTCTGAGGTGTTGGCTATTCCTGAACTGTTTTATAAAAACAACTTCAGTTCATTGTTCCTTGATGCATGAGTGCAAATTCATCATTATTTCCCGACAAACTCTAAGCTTTTTTTTTCGTGATAACATGTGAGCTGTGAGAGGATTGGATAACAGATAAAAAGACAATCATATTTTGCAACAATATTGGCTTTTACAATGAATGTTTACCTGTAAAATGTTTGTAAATTATGCAAACAAGTCTAGTATTAGGTGTTAAAATATCTATTGCTTATACTACTTGTCTACAAAGTATAATAAAAACAGTTGTAACTGACTTACGTATATCAATAATAATTAAGATTATAACAAAGTATACATATATCACAGTTCCAGATAAATAAGACCTATAGCAATTTAAATAATGCAAAATTCATTGAGAGACATATTTAATTACAATTGGAAGAGCATGCAGACGTATAGGTTTCTAAAATGCACAAACACTGCTACATGTACATCAATTTAGGGATGAGTAAATAGTGTGTTTTATCAATGCTATTGTGAGAGTTATATTGTGATGTGCTTTGTGTTGAGCTGCCCAGTAATAAACTAGGAATACCATTTGTTGCCATCCCCAAAGTATACATACTTTTGTTAGTACATCAGAGAATTGAATAGACTTCACAGACTTGTGATCATTTGAAAGCTAGAATGTGCTATCGTACCTACACTATAATCCCTCTTATCTGAATTACAAATAATCATCAATCACCCCTCCTCCCCCCAAAAGAGATTTCTTTTATAAAGGGGAATATGTGCAGATGGGTCAGTGGGGGTCAGTGGGGGTCAGTGAGGGTCAGTGGATGGCCATGGGGAAAGAGAATTCCCTCTTTCCTACTCAAAGCTTTTAAAAAAGGGGTGTGTGAAGGGAAAGTTAGTATACTTCTATTCTACCAGTTGACTATATTACTTGCATATTACCACAGAGGATATAACTGAATGCAGAGATCATCATGCATCATTTATTCTTCATGCAACACTGACAGCCAGCAGATAGAGAAAAAAGTCACAGAATCAAACAAGCTGTTAGAAAAGGAAAAGAAAAGAAATTTATAATTTACCTAAATTGATAGAAATGTATGTGTAAAGTATTGTAACAATATGTTAAACAAAAATGTATGTGAGTTTGATTATTTTGTTTTAATGAATACACCTGTTAAGGGTGAAAGAAGAAGAAAAATCAAACAATATGCACACAAATTAGCAAGAACATAGAGTTGACCATAGCATGCAGAGAGATATAGTTGTGAAATATGAACATATACACAGTCATAGGTGAAATCATGGGGTGCCAAACATTTCCATCCTCTATACAATCTGCATGGGAGGGAACTATTTGAGGCTCTGTGAATTGACTGACCAATGAGAAGCAACCTCCTGTGACATAACTACTGCTCCCAACCAGCTATGGAGTTGACTAAAAGCTTATTCAGACATGATGCATAACAAACACCACTGCAGGGAAGCTGAATGAGGTAACGGTAAGCATACTATGCTATGCATTTCTCTATTTTACAACACAGATCAGTGAGAAGTGACTGCGTTAAGGGGCTATTGTTGAGTACCGGTAAAGGCGGCCCCCCCCCCTCCCCATTCCTTCTTAATCCTCTTCCCCGAGATATTGCCACACTAAATTAGTTTACAAAGTTTTGCTGCAGTCATCTTTTTAGGTGGTTTACCAAATCATGTCTGATCAAGGGTTTACAAATGATTGAGCATAAAACACACACTCCTTGATATGTCAATTACAGTTTTAAAAAATGGTCTATCTTGTATCACTTCTATACATCTACAATGTAGTGAACAAGAGATACCGTACATACTATATTCTAAGCAATTACATGTACCAAAATGTGTACAAATTTAACTTTACAAAACACAGCAGAGTTGAAGGCTTTTGCTTGTTTTTGTTTTTTCCGAACATAGAAAAAATTACCCCAGTAATACTGGTCCCATGTACAATAACACATCACTTACGAAAATCTCCTTTACACTTTTTTTTCTTCAGTTCCCTGGGCAATTTCCTCTTTTACTTAATCTACTCTTCCCCCAGCACTCTCCCAATGTTTTCTCTACCTGCTGTTATCAAAGCTTACATCACAAATGCGTGAAAAGTTCATTCCTCTTTACAAGATGAGGGTTATTACACACAAATTTCCTCTTGCAGCTCAGCTCAGCTCTTTGCTATCAATTGATCTCTGCTTCCAGCAACATTATAATGGCATTTGTAAAGGGGGAATCTTGTTACATCGTTGTCCCCTAATGTTTGCATCTGCAAGAATATACCCTGGATATCCTTTAGAGATTTCAGAGCTACAAATTTTCAAAAGCCTTTTACGGTTCTACAACAAGTAAGCACCGTTGATTCGTAAATGCCAACTTACAACTACAAAAACATGAGATAAATTTGTTCATTGTGAAGAATTCAGTTTTTATGAAGTAGAATTTGATATCAACTTTTCTGCTCCATACACATATGGAGAGCGAGCATGAATCACCACAAGGGCTACCTGTAAGATGAAAAGTGTATATTGCATGTTCCATTTTCACAGAGTCACCCTATGAGCTGTACAGAATTTGCCATATCCACAAAGCCAATGGGTCGCTTTAAGCTCTCTAACAAAATCCTCATCTCATTTTAGCCCCTTTCTCATCCCACCAAACATATCTTTTAACCCAAATCAACCTTAATTACACAATTATGCATTTCTTTGACTCCTTGCCTCTTTTGGGCTTCTTCCGCGACTCCGGTGTTAGACGGTTGATCTGTCGGACTAGGTCGTAGAAGAGGTCATTGACGTTGATCTTAGCTTTAGCTGAGGTCTCCAAGAATGTACTGCACATGATAAGGGAAAAGCACAAATTGTAGAAAAAGAACATGATTTAATAATCAAGTACCGGTACTAGTATACTAGACACATTTTAAAATCAATGTTGGACAGAGAGAGAGAGAGAGATCACACAACAGTAATAGGTATTGTATTGTAAGAAGTTGATGAAAGCCTTCCCTGGCATGCCATAATGTCGTGAGTGTCGGGAGTGTCGTGGTCGAGTGGTTTAAGGCGCTTGACTGGGGATGCGAAGGTCGAGAGTTTGAATCCCGACACGGCACTAATATCCTTTGGCAAGATATTAACCTGCACATGCTACTCTCCACCCAGGTGTCAAATGGGTACCCGGTAGGATGCGGCTGTCATTGTTGGTCAAACAGTTCGTGAGCGTCAAGTAACGCCCGGCTGGAATGCTCCCCAGGAGTGGAGATCGTGCACACATTATGTGCAGGCAAGCACTGAATCCAATGACCAGGGTAATAGTATATTTGTAAAGCGCTTAGAGACATTTGTATTAAGCGCTATATAAAAATTAAATATTATTATTATTATTATAATATTATAATATTAGTCTAAATCCACAAAGGAGGTCTAAGTCATATTTTAAACTTCCATTGAGACCTAAACAGTATACTAAGGAGGTTTATCTTAAACCATAGTCCATGGTTTAAGATAAACCTCCTATTGTGAATTTGGCTATTATGTGCACGATTAATGACAAGTATTTTTAGTTGATTCAAATTGTGATATCTTATTGGGCTACGCTAGTAATCGCTGAGAAATTCTGCAAATCAAAAGTGTATCAAGTCATCAGACAACTGGACTTTCTATTCTTCAGAAGGTGTTTAAAAGTCATGTGCCTATTTTGTAAACATACATAACTGGAGGAATGCAGCAAATCAACACCAAGGAGCCTCTGTTTACATCATCATTTGGCACATTGACCTCAAAACCTAATCAGTTCATCTCCCTCTGACGCATAACAGTACTATCGCATCTCAACATCATCCCCATAATGATTCTAAGATACCGTGAGAAAATGTTAGGGCAATGTTTCAGACCTACATGTACATACACGAGTACAACCTGACAACAAATTATGGCACTTCCTATTGCGTAGACTAGATAGTCTTGGATATGTTTGGTTTCATATATGCATTCGTAGGATCACTGTTATCATTACTCATTACACAACAATAGCATAATGGTTGTGTCATTTGCTTGGTTTGCAAAAGGCAAGGACATAAAAAAATTAAAAAATGTACCCCTTCTTATGTTAAATTACATTGTGTATGGTATTTGTAAAATAGTAGATGCATATTTTCCCTGCATGCCCCACCTAGCAGGCATATCCTTGATACAATGATTACCCCATTAAGTCACAGCTGTGGTTTACACCATGACTTATTACTGTTGGTGAACATAGAACAATCTTTGATTCTGGGTTTGTGCCAATAAGGGTTCAGTGCAATGAGTAGAGGGGTGTCCTGCCAACATGAAGAACTTTATAAACCACCCTTCTTAATAGTTTTTTTGTGATATCCTAAATAGTCTTGTCCTCTGGAGAATGGCAGCTACATGCAAACATTACCAAAAGCATAATAGAAGTATACTCAAGGCTCTACATGACCAGCAACTCAATGGCAGACAACCTTTAAAAATTCAACATGACCCCCAAATATTAAACAAGGGTCCATTTTTAAAATATGAATAGCCACAAAATTGCCCCCCCCCCCCCCCACATAAAAGTTAAGGTGGAGTATTGGACTGCTCAACAAATTTTAGCTGGAGTCTTGTATAATGAAATATATGCATGTTTACTAGAATACGGTATGAACAATACCCAGACTGAGAAATGCAGACGGCCAATCACCAATCATCAATGTTTTAGG